CTGTAATACCCGAGATTAATTTAAGAGGATTAATAGTACTACTCATACCAACAAGATGCATCTCCTTTTAAGGGAGCTCATCACCTAAGAACTCCAAAGTTAAGCGTGCTTGCACGGGAGTAGTCTTGGGATGGGTGCCCCCTGGGAAGTTTCCCAGGGCGCGCACGAGTGAGGACAAAGTGCGCGGAAAAGGCTAGTGGCGGTTTGTGAGGACAGTACTAGAGGTCAGAAGTAACTACCTCGGGGCCTACGGGGCCGGGGTGTTACAGGTGGTATCAGAGCAACCCTGCGACAGTGTGCTGATCCGTTGGATATCGGGCGAGCACTTAGCAGGGGAAAAGATTCCGGGATATGATTGAGATTGGTTTATGGGCGCAACGAGGACGTTGCGTTCCTAAGTGGGGGTGATTGTAATACCCGAGATTAATTTAAGAGGATTAATAGTACTACTCATACCAACAAGATGCATCTCCTTTTAAGGGAGCTCATCACCTAAGAACTCCAAAGTTAAGCGTGCTTGCACGGGAGTAGTCTTGGGATGAGTGACCCCCTGGGAAGTTTCCCAGGGCGCGCACGAGCTAAGTAGCACCGGGACGGAAACGGGGACGGAAACGGGGACGGGGAAACGCTAAACTCAAAATATTAGGAAACGGGTACGACAAGGAAACGTCACACTAGAAATTAATTTTTTTAGTAATATAAGTAATGCATATGTCTAACAACCCAGAAAATAATTAAACAAAACATACATCCTTGTTATAATCCATTCTACAAGCACAATAAATAAAATTTAAAAAGCATTACGTAAATGTTTCATTCAGTGATAAACACTCTTTCTAATTCCGGCTCTTCTAAAGATAAATTAGCAAACTCCAAATAGCCCATTTCTTCCAAATTGCCGAACTCGTCTCCTCCAACATCCCACATCTTGGTCTTCTCATCTGCGTATTGCTCAGAACTCCTTGACAAGAGGCGAAGGTTGTTGTGCACAAACACCAAATCTTCAGCACGCTTAGGAGTTAACTTGTTCCGCCTAAGTGAATGGATAAAAGAGTAAGTACTCCAATTACGTTCACATGATGATGAAGATGTAGGCTGACCAAGAACTCTAAAAGCGAGCGTTTGTAGGATTGGTGTTTGAGCACCAAAGTTAGCCCACCAACTTTTAGGATCTGTGTTTCCCCTCTTTGAAAGAGATGTAATATCTGCAAAAGGCCCTGTATTAAGTGAAAACGAAGCAAACTCCTCCAAAACCATATCGTAATCATCACCATTTGGAAAGAGCCTTCGGAAGCATTTCATCCTTTCTTGGGAGATCTCACCATCCCTATGAGGAGGGACCCTAGCGGGATCCGCAACAAGCCAAACTTCACTATAAAACCTATTACAAAAATAATAACAAACCAAACTTTTATAAAAAATATATATATATATATATATATATATATATATATATATATATATATCATGTTTAACTAATAATGATACCTTGGGTTCAATGAATGGGCTAAGCAGTGAAGCGGTGTAGAACTCTTTGCCCAACGTGCCACAAGAATATTGTATACTACTTGGTAGAAAGCACTATACTCATCGAGAGACTTTCCTTCATGCTTATAGATTTCCACTTTGACTTTTTCAATCATGGAATCCCACATCTCATATACCAAATGGAGGCACGCCCTATCAGTATCACATGCTCGAATCATACTATAGATGGGATCCGAAAAGGCAAGAATATAATCAATTTGCTCACACCAATACTCACTTAAAATTTTCTCCCTCACAAACCTTGCTTTGCCTTGGTCATCCTCACGATATGATGCCCATTCATCACTCAACACCATAGCCTCCAGACCACGTATAATAAGCTTAAACCTCTTAAGCATTACAATTATAGAAGCAAAACGTGTGTCCGCCACAGAAAGTAATTTAAGGGAGATGAATTTGTTGAACATGGATAACATCATAGTATGATTCATGATGAATTTTTTTATGTGAACAACATCACCATGGATTTCAGTGATCCAATGACATTCATTATAAACTTCTGTGTTATTCTCCACATTCTTTGCAGCACATATGTTCTTTAAGGCAAGATTTAAAGTATGCACTACACAAGGTGTCCAATAGATGTGGGGATACATACCTTCAATGATTTCTCCTGCACCCTTGCAATTCACAGCATTATCAGTGATTACCTGCACCACATTTTGATGACCTATCTCATCAATTACTTCTTTCATCAAATTAGCAATGAATTCTTTGGATTTAAATTCACTCATACAATTCACCGCTTTCAGAAACATGGGACCACTTCTAGAAGTTGCCATAAAGTTAATTATAGGTCTTCGTTGCGGATCACTCCAACCATCAGTTGCAACCGTCACTCCTCTTTCTGGCCAAGTAGCTTTGAGTGGTTGTAATAACCTCTCAACATTTGCTTTCTCTTGTTGAAGTAAAGAAGTTCTTAATTTATTATAACCCGGGGGGACATAACCTCCTAAATTATGATTGGCACCAAAGGAATAAGCTCTTACATAATATGGATTCCTAGCAAGATTAAATGGCAACCCTCCAGTAAAAAACATCCTAGTAATTTCTTCATCTAATCTCCCTCTAGCATCCATATCAAAAGCTTTCTCCAACGGACTACTACTAGCTTTTCTTTTATTAGGTAAACTAGTATTACTTATCCAATCCGTTTGTGATCCCGCTGAAGGTAAAGGAACATCTTTAGGTGCAGATTTTTTTTTTTATTTTTCTCAACTTCTTCTTCTAACTTTTTCATCTCACGAATATCATTAGGTTGGACCTTATTGCATATAGCAATTCCTTGTTTTGAAATTTTAAGCAAGTGAGCTCTTACTCTAGAATAAGATCCTTGTTTTATGCTATTACAGAAATTACATTGGAATCTCCATGTCCCTCCTGTATCAGCACTTTTACCTAATTTGGTAACAAATTTCCACAAAGGTGTATTATCAACCCCAACTTGTGAAGTATGTTCCATATTTGAGGATAAATAAAGGGTTGGTAGTGTGGTACTTACTAATTGAAATTGAAGAGAAGTACTGAAGTAGAGAACCAAATAGCAAATAGCAAACCTCCAAACCCTTTTCTTTTCTTCCCAGTTCGCCGCCTTCGCCCTTTTCTTTCGCACTTCCCAGAAATCGCACAGCAGAATCGCAGAACCTCGTTCGCACTTCCCAGTTCGCGGTTCAACACTGTCTCCCTCGTTCGCAGAATCGCAGTTCCCAGTTCCCAGTTCGCAGATTCTTCGTTCGCAGTCCGCAGAGTCTTCACTCTTCGACTCTTCGTTCGACGGCTTCGACGCAGGTAAGCCCGTTAATTAAAGCCTTTTTTTTAAGTTGCTGCGGAAACGCCTAGGCCCAAGCCCAGCGACGTTTCCGAAACGTTTCCCAACCCGGCCCAAGCCCAGCGACGTTGCAGAAACGTTTCCGGCCGTTTCCATGGCGTTTCCGGCCGTTTCCCGGCGTTTCGCGTTTCCGAAACGTTTCCGGGATGGAAACCTCCCCTTACCCGGCGTTTCCGTGCTTCCTAGCGCACGAGTGAGGACAAAGTGCGCGGAAAAGGCTAGTGGCGGTTTGTGAGGACAGTACTAGAGGTCAGAAGTAACTACCTCGGGGCCTACGGGGCCGAGGTGTTACATCTTCAATCCAATTTCACTCAATAAATGATTTATCCAGATTATCTCACATGCCGATTGTGCCATAGCACGATATTCTGATTCGGCACTAGATCGAGAAACCACATTCTGCTTCTTACTTTTCCAGGAGACAAGATTACTACCAACAAAGACGCAATAGCCAGATGTAGATCTTATATCATCTTTAGATCCCACCCAATCAGCATCTTCGAAGCATTCTATTCTCATGTGATCATGATTTTGATAAACAATACCTCGTCCTGGTGTCCCCTTCAAGTAGCATAATATATGTTCAACAACATTCCAGTGATCAATTGTGGGAGATGACATTACTGACTCACTACGCTCACTGAGTATGCAATGTCTGGACGGGTAACTGCGAGATAATTAAGTTTTCCAACCAATCTTCTATATCACTCTGGATCTTCGAACGACACACCTTCGTGAATGAGTTGTACGTTAAGAATCATAGGAGTATTGCTCGGCTTTGCCCCTAATTTCCCTGTTTCAGCTAGCAAGTCAAGTACATATTTGCGTTGCGATAGAAATATGTCTTTCTTGTTTCGTGTTACCTCAATACCCAAGAAGTATTTCAATGAGCCTAGATCTTTCGTCTTGAATTGGCTATGAAGAAAATTCTTAAGAGCCAAAATACCTGCAGTATCACTCCCTGTAATCACAATATCATCGACATACACCACAAGCAATGTGATACATGTCTTCGTTCGTCTGAAGAAGACAAAGTGGTCTGATTGACCTTTTATCACGCCAAATCGTTCAATTGATTGACTGAATTTTCCAAACCATGCACGGGTACTTTGTTTCAAACCATAAAGAGACTTGCGAAGTCGACTAACTTTCCTGTACTTCCCCTAAGCAACAAATCCCGTAGGTTGCTCAATATAAACTTCTTCCTGAAGGTCACCATGCAAGAATGCATTTTTAATGTCCAACTGATGTAAGTTCCAATCATGAGTTGCAGCAAGAGAAATGAGTAACTTGACAGATGTTAATTTAGCAACAGGAGAAAAAGTGTCAGAATAATCAACACCATAGGTTTGAGCATAACCCTTCGCAACTAATCGAGCTTTCAACCGAGCAACAGGTCCGTCTGGATTAACCTTAACAGCAATAACCATATCCCAAGTACCATTAAGATCTAAAACATTCATTTCCTCTACCATGGCATGATGCCATTCAGGATGAGACAAAGCTTCTTTAACAGATTTGGGAACAGAAACAGAATCAATGGAAGCAATAAAAGAACACGAGACAGGGGATAACTGATTATACGACACAAATGAAGAAATAGGATGAGTAAAAGATCGTGTACCTTTACGTAGAGCTATCGGAAGGTCAAGATCTAATGTAGAGACAAGATCAGAAGATGCATGTGCCGGTTCAGGACATGAGATCAAGGACGGACCAATATCAGGATAAGTAATCATAGGTGTCACGGGTGGAGGGTGATCCGGTAATATCAAGATAAGTAATCATAGGTGTCACGGGCGGAGGGTGATCCGGTGCTCTGTTTCGACGGGTGTAAACCAAGTGTACTGGAGGTCTGGGGTCGGGAATAAGAACATATGGAATAACTACAGAAGGCGTAGATTCCGGTATAGTGACAGAGTAAATGAGTATTTCATCATTGTCCCCATGAATATCTGTCTTGGATGATGAAAAGGGTGTATTTTCATGAAATGATGCATCAGTGGAAACAAGATATCGACCTGTACTTGGAAAAAAACATCTATACCCCTTCTGAAGTCGAGAATAACCCAAGAAAATACATTTTAATGATTTGGGCTCTAACTTTGTAAGATGAGGATTAACGTCTCTAACAAAACAAGTGCAACCAAATGTTTTAGGTGGGATAGGAAAAAGCTCCTTGTTCGGAAATAAGCAGTGAGAAGGAGTTTTATCGTTTAAAACAGAAGATGGCATACAGTTTATCAAAAAACATGCGGTAGACACTAGACATGACATCCACCCAAAACTGTTTAGGCACATTCATTTGGAATAGAAGAGCCCTTGCAGTTTCTAACAGATGTCGATTCTTTCTTTCAGCGACTCCATTTTGAGGAGGTGTCTACGCATGAAGTTTGATGAATAATGCCATTTTGAAGCATAAAAGATTTAAATGGAGCGGAGAGATATTCTTGGGCATTGTCTCCCCTCAACACATGAACAAGAACATTAAATTGAGTTTTAATTTGAGTACAAAATGCAGAAAAATGAGTAAATAACTCTGATCGACGTTTCATAAAATATATCCATGTCATACGAGAATAATCATCAACAAACGTAACAAAATATTTGAAACCAGATTTGGACACAACAAGACATGCCCCCCAAACATCAATATGATGAACAAGATCAAACTGAGCGTTTGCTCGTTTATTAAGTCGAGGACTTAAACTAGTACGATGATGTTTTGCAAACTCACATGACTCACATTGTATAGATTACACTTTATTAAACTGAGGATATATTTGCTTCATTAGTGGGAGAGATGGATGTCCTAATCAGTAATTAGCTTCTAACAGATTTCCAACCCCAAGACAAGAGATACCTTTTGTGATTGATGTATCCAAAATATAAAGACCAGCTGACTCATGTCCTTTACCAATAGTCTGCTTCGTTAACAGATCCTGAAACACACAATATCCAGGAAAAAATGTTACAGAACAATTAAAAGTACGTGTGGTTTTATTGATGGAAAGCAGATTAAATGCAAAATTAGGAAGACTCAGAACAGACGATAATGGTAATGTAGAAGTCAGTACCGGATCCAAGGACGGGTAAGGTAAACCCGTCAGCTAAAGTGACACTGGAAGTAGGTAAATATGAGTGAAATGATGAGAATAGACTAGGATTACCAGTCATATGATCTGTGGCACCTTAGTCAATGACCCATTTCGAGGATGATGAAACAAGACATGTGTTTGAAATTCCTGAATTTGCAAGTACCGTGATAGGGACAGAGGAATGCTTTAGAGATTCTTGGTAGCAAATAAATTTAGCATACTCATCTGGAGAAATAGCAATTGATCCATCAGATGAACTGGTGGTGGAAACAACATGAGCAAACTGATTTCCTTGATTTTTGAACATCAATTTTCTACATTCTTTAATCAAGTGTTCGGGCTTCTTGCAGTAATTGCATATTACTCTGACAAATTGACTCATACAAGACATTTTTTTTGTTTTTTTATGAGAATGTAATCAAGTTCAAAATTGAGATATCGAATGAAAACTTACGGAAGCCCGTTTGTGGACTCGGCCTTGGAGAATAAAAGATCCAATTTGCTTGGGCTTTCACGGCCACTCCAGACAGAAGTCCGATTCCAGACCCCAACAAATAAACGAAAGAGCTGAGTTTGTCCACAGATGTCCGATGCCAGACCCTAGACCCCAGCGACGTAAGACCAGAACATGCGTATGTCTAATGCTTCGATTGCAGACCCAGCGAGCGACCAACCACTACACCTCTTCCCACAGATAGCTGGTGGTAGAGGACTCTCAGGCGAGTCTGCAAGGAAAATTCAGATCAAATCTCCGGCCAGAAACAAGGTCTCACGTGCTGGCGCGTGCGACGGCGACAAGTACTCCGGAGGCGCGTGTAACTCACGTGCGTCGATTCGGAGCTGCGGATTTTGAAGGCTTGGTCGTCGACAACATTCGCACCAGATTTGGCAGAGGGTTGTGAAGTTAGATGGGTTGCTGGATACCCAGTTCTTCTGAGATGGGGGTTCTGGAAAAGTTTCTGGGAAGAGTCGGATGTTTTGGGAAGAGTTTGAGATTCTGAGATGGGAGGTTCTTGAAGACAATGGAATAGAGGTTCTGAAAATTCTGGACTGAACTCAGGTTCTTGGAGAAAGAACCAGTCTCAAAACTAAACTCAGATATGAAAAAAAGAAAACTAATCTGAAATCTGAAAAGAAAACTAAACTGAAATGAAAGGATACCATGTTGAAATATGATACCATGTTGAAATATAAACTAGAATAATATTGAAGATGAAGAGAAGGGTTTTCTGCGTCTTTCATTAGTTGCGGAAGTCCCTATAAATATACATTACAAATAGAATATTCCTATATAAGATTCTATACAATAATAATATCTATGGTATATTCCTAATATATTCTAAAGCATATTCTAAAGTATATTCTAATATACTTTCACACTTCTCTTGTGCATAGAGTGGTCCCAAATGCTTCAAAAAGTGTTTTTCATCTTTTTGCTTAAAAAAGCTGAAATTGGCGTTTTCAAGTGACAACTTCTCCTTAAATCAAGCATTTAAAGTTAAAATCCGGAAACAGGTGGAGGGTGTTTTAAGCTGCTTTTCACTTTTTCTATTACACAAAAAATACTTTTTACCAAAAACTACCAACTTCTACTTTTGCAAAATCACTTTTTTTCAAACACTACCAACTTGTATTATAAATCACTTTTTCTAAAATCACTTTTTTAAAAAAATAATAGAAGCAATCGCAAACACTCCCATAGAATGACTCTTCTGGTTGATTGTAGAGGTGTTACTCTATAAGTTGTACCTGATATTTGCAGATGTGTACCAATGGGCTGATTCGTCAGGGAATATGGTGATCCGTGTTTGCCTATTCTTTCCATTGGAGACTTGGGCACGCTTGGAGGTATACAGGGAATGATATAATTAACTGAATTATGGGTCTGGTTAAGTTGGTACCATGTAAAACTTCTATCTGCTTGGCTGTAAATGTAGAGAGATTTTTGAGTATTTACTATACTCAATAGGGATGCCAAAGAAAAAAGAATACAATACCACAGCAAGACTTCTGTAGATAGAAGTTGTATTATGTTTTTCCCATCAAGTGAAAAATGTTTTTCTTTTTTGTGTTATGGAAAACCTTATTACAGATCTCATATACGAAGTATTTATTTATGTGAACAGTAATTTTTTGCACCGATGCCTCAGGGTTTGGTAAAGAAGGTTGGTCATAGCTTGAGCCAACGGATTCACTTAGGTGGTGTGAAGGCTTTTTCGGATGGATCTTTGGGATCTAACAGTGCACTCTTTTATGAGGTCAGAATATAAATCATTTGTCCTCTCTAATTTTCTCCTGTCACCCCTCTCAAAAAGTGCATCTTTAAGACATTATCTTGATTAAAATGCACGAAGTTACTCTCTTATCTTAAGCCATATGCTGATGAGCCTCACAACTATGGACTACAAGTAGTGGATATGGATCAGCTATACAACATGACTCTTTCTTCAGATAAATCTAACCTTCAGGTGCTCTGTCATTCTACATTGACCTTATTCTGTTTATTGTTGATAATCATGCACTATTCTGACATGATGTAATATATTTATATTCTAGGTTGCCATTCATGCCATAGGTGACAGAGCCAATGATTTAATCTTGGATATGTATGCTTCAGTGGCTTCTGAGAATCAAAAGACGGATCGACGGTTTAGGGTAACTGAACAACTGATAAGGCTGAGAAGTTTTCTAGTCAAATTCTAGCTTTCTCACGGTGCCTCATGTTAAAACCGGGGAGTTGGGAAACTGTTTTAGAAAATCTGGCGGATTTCTCAGAGTATCGTGTGATCACTTTCCGAATCTAATATTTCGACCCTATGCCTGGGTTACACGAAATTTAGATTATGGGGATAATCGCTCTAAGAGACAGTCTAAAACTGAGACACCAATATATAGACCACGAACTAGCAGTTTTAGTAGAACTCGAATTCTTCTGATTACCAAAGAGATAAGGCCAATCAGTTAGAGTTTTACTCTAACAGAAAGTCATTCTATTAAATAATTAATATAGACATGTTTATCCGAAAATAAATTTCCATATTTATTTCTTTAATAAAATAAAATTTTGGTCCGGGGCGCTGCCCCGAGCCCCGCGAGAGCGAGACCCCCGCCAGGGGCGCTGCCCCTTGGACCCCGCAAGGGGGCGCAGCCCCCTTGACCCCCACCATTTAATCGAACCAAGTTTAAATTTAATTTCGTACAAGTGTGCGCTCCGCACCTCCTAACTGTCTAAAATTAAACTTGAACTCCATTGGTAATTTGTAAATTCCATTACACTAAAATGAACCTGGTGATACTAAAATCACTAACACCTCATTATCCGAGTAGTAATAATAATATGACTATCTTGAACGTTTTTTCTTTTCACTAGAAACTATAACAACTACTTGCAGATTGAACATGCTCAACATTTAGCCACTGGGACCGCAGCACGATTTGGTGAACAAGCTATATTTGCGTCAGTTCAGGTTCCTGTTAACATTCTTCAATGCTATATAGTTCAATTCTATTGTATGAGTGATTCACCAAATTTTAGAAATGAAGCCTTATTTTACAAATTCTATTCACTTCACTGATAGTTTTGGTTGGGGTTGTAAATGATTGGTGTTCTGAAAATTATTGGGCTCTTAAAGGAGAAAAAGAAAATTTAATCATGAATAGATGTAGGCTACTTTCCATCATTTGCAATGGAGCCAAAGATTCATTATTTTTTGGCTTGAGATTATGATGGAATAAAGCAAAATGGCTCACTAAACTGTCTGCGCTTCTTTGTTATCGAGCAGTAGTCGGTCCATGCAATCTTGGACGCGATTTTCACTATGGGTCATCCGGAAACAGTCTCTCTGTGCTTTAGTACATGGGTAAGACTGCGTACATCCGACCCCCCCTTACCTCACCGTAGGTGGGAGCCTTTGCGGCACCGGGGTAAATGAAAATGAAATGAATAGATGTAGGCTACGACAGTCCGCAGCCATCAGAGATTCAGAGCTATGTCTAAGCATTAATGGATGAAGAATATTCTGGACAATTTTTTTTAAAACTAACTAAATCATAACAGGGAAGCTATTCACATGTAGCATTCCTAACAAAAATACGAAGTACTAATCTCTCATTGATGCTTAAATACAGCCCCAAGGATTGTGGACTTATCATCAGGAGTAAACACAGACCAAATGTTTTCCTCTTTTGGCCTTTTCCATGTAGACTTGGTTAGAGACAGTTAGGCGATGAGACCTCATGACTATAGGCTCAGGAAAGAGAATGAATGGTGGTGCTTGATCCATATAGCCAGTCTCATATTCTCATCTAGTGGGAAAATGCTGGTCTGGATTTCATATTGCGAACGAAACATGTAAAGAATTATAGTGGTGACTTCAGAGCAGTTAAAAATACCTTATCTATTAAATTTAACCAAATGTGCACTACCATTTACATTTTTTTTTCTCGTTTACAAATGCCTCTTTTAGTTGCATTTCTGATGCAATCAAGGACGGCTAATATTATAGATTAGGTAGCATATTAGGGATCTTATTAGCATGGGTTCTGGATACCTACCTAAGCATAATTTCAGGGTTCTAATGATTCCTTGATTGATATTTGATTCACTACTGACCTTACTTTATGTTTTATGACTATATGTAAATTGGGGTATATATCTGCCAGGCTAGTTTTCTTGCTAGTGTTGTTGGTTCTTTACTACATCATTTTCCAATTTTGACATGAAACAGCCAGATCACATACTGGATGATGCCGATTCTGCAATTAAGAAGCTTGGGCGGAAAAGAGCAGAGGGAGGATCCTATTTATTCAAGTCACTCCTCGCGAACAATGCACAACTAGCATTTGGCTCTGATTGGCCAGTATGCAAATTGCAAAAACAATATCAAATTGGAGCATTACTTTTACCGTAACAGTTCTCTTCTGTAACTCATCATCAATTTCTTCTTGTTTTTAGGTAGCCGATATAAATCCACTGGGAAGCATTGAAACGGCAATGAAAAGAATAACTTCTCTTCCAGGTCGTAAACAACATAAGGGGACAGCATGGATTCCATCAGAACGCTTAAGCCTAAAGGAGGCACTTGATGCGTATGATCATATACTTTTCTCTGTTTTTTTCTGTCTTGGACATAATAAGGAGAAACCAGAAGTACATAGGAATCATGAAAGTGAGACCTTAAGAATTCAACATGTGGCAGGTACACAATCTCAGCTGCACGTGCGTGCTTCCTTGAGAGAGACATCGGGTCCCTCTCTCCTGGAAAGTTGGCAGATTTTGTTGTTTTGTCTGCGGAATCATGGGATTCCTTCTTTGCAATAAGTGATGGTGGTGGATCTACAACCACTTCAGTCCAAGCAACATATGTTGGTGGAATCCAGGCTTACCCTATGCTGAAAATGACGATCTGACCATCCGGGTCAATTAATTAGGATAACAGACTAAATTCTTGGGAGATAATTATGAATTTTCCATGTGTATTCACTCTGATGAATGCAATCAGAGTTTGTAAATTATTCCTTGTATGTTGCCCAAACCAGATATTGTGATACCTGAATTTCCTAATGAACTGCAATGATATTTGACAGTCTGGAAAGTGTTTTAGGAGTTCATTTGAGATGAAATATCGAGAATCGAGTGAGATGGATGTGGACTCGGTTCAGTTCACTGATAGTCTGATATAGTTGTTACTATTTATTTTCATTAGAAAAAAATTCCACTGTTGGTCCCATGACTATTATACCACTTCCACATTTAGTCCCTTACTTTCAGATTGTCCACATTTAGCCCGTGACCATTATCCCCTCACCACCCCTCATCTTTTCGTCCAAAATTCCGGCAAATTTAAGGCAGATTTAAGGTATGAAAAACCAAATTTAATGCAAGACTGATATGACAAACCCAACCTGATACAAAATTTAATGCAATGACTGATTCTGAGGCTGAGAAGTGGACAAAATTTGCCGGAATTTTGGCCGAAAGGATGAGGGTTGGTGAGGGGATAATGGTCACGGACTAAATGTGGACAATCTGAAAGTAAGGGACTAAATGTGGAAGTGGTATAATAGATTTGGCGTGTTTGAGGACTGCTTAGAGACTGGCTAGTTCTGACTTCTGAATCTTCTGATGTTTTTTCTTTGTTTTAAAATTGGCTACGGGGTTGGGTAGGAACCCAACATAACCAACCGATTCTACCCAACTGAAATGACCCATATTCATCTTTTCACAAAAAATGTTAGGTGTACTTGTATATACTTTTTTACAAAATAAGGGTCTAAATACATTTTTACCCATCCCTATATATATATATATATATATATATATATATATATATATATATATATATATATATATATATATATATATATATATATATATTCTATAGGGTCGGGTTCTAATGAGAAGACATCTTAACGTGAGAAGTGAGAAGTTACACATTTACATGTTTCTGATGCACTTTTTGCGATGACAGAAAAGTTCCGATTAATTACAGAAATGCCACCGTGTCTAGCATCACTTTTTAAATATTTTTTGCACTTTCCCGTGCACTTAACTGCTAATCTAATGCACAGATCTTAAATTGAACGGACCAGATGCATTCTCACTTAGGATCAAATGAAAATATCATCTTCATAATCTTTCCTTCTCTTTTTATCTTTCTTTGTCATTAGAAAGTCAGACATGAACATTCGCTGAAATTTTTGCGTGTGGGTATAAAATATCATCTGTATCGTGTTGCATATTGATATAATTTTCGTCTTCTTGGGTATCAAGCTAAATGCAGCAAACTTGAATGAGGCTGCTACAAAATTATAGGCAAGGAACTTTACCACATTTCACTGATTGAGAACATGGAATAAACTACAAAATTGCTACAAGATTGTGCATGAGTGCATCTGAATGGTCTGAGTTCTGGTAAATTACAGGCAAGGAACTTTACCACACTTTTGCACAATAACTAACTTCTACTCCTTCCGTCCCTTAAAACTTTGCCAAGTTTGATCGGCATAAGTATTAATAAAGTGAAAACTATGTGGTTGAGAGTTGTGTAGAGGAGAGAATTAACCGAAACCACAAATTTTTTACTTAAAAAGGAAAATGGCTAAGTTAGTGAGACATCCAAAAAAGGAAAGTTGACAAAATTTTAAGGGACGGAGGGAGTATCTTGTAAATTCACTAGCTACGAAGCTTCATGAGCTTCAAAACTTTCAGTCTTCTCAATCTCATCATCATCTACACAATCTATTTGATTTACACTCACACTCCCAGTATGTGCTGTCTTGTTAGACCTTCTAGTTTTCAAAATAGAGGCAGATTCTTTAACCAAACCGATGTACTTCTTCCTCACCTTTGCTAGAGGATGTGCCTCTATAGCCCCTTTGTCACAGTAAGCCTCCTTTAGTATTGCCGTGCACGTTTTGTTCTTTAAAGACAGATAGAAAATGTGAGTGTGTCTCTCAAACGCCTTGTGAACCTTCTGTGGGAGACCCAAGTATTTCCTTAGGCACAAAAGCTTTCTCCTTTCAGCAGAATGCTCCACAAACAAGCATAGCAATTCATGAAGCAATCCCACCACCCGCTTCTCGGCTTCATCGCTATCGGGTCTTATACATGATGTTGAGTAGTTTTTGTATGGAGAAACATAAGGAAGCTTCTGAAACTCATCCCACCAATCTATAATCTTCCTCCTCAACCTCAATCCTTTAGACGGAAATATGGGGAACGAAATGGTTTCTTTTCCTTCACCTCTTTTTATTGCATTCTTTTGCAGCACAGTCAATACCATTTCATTCCCATTGCAGTTTAATGCCAATCCTTTCAGACCATCTCCCATTTCCACAACCTCAAACAATCTGTTAAGATTCTTTTCGGGTTCTGTCAAGAATTCATCAGGCAGTCCCAGATACCACTGCATACCCTGAATAATCTTCAAAGGAAGGACCTTTTTCTCACCGAAACCAACACAACTCATCAAGATCAACTTCTTCAACCTCAATACAAGATCACCCTTAAACTCTCTGTAAACATCTCTTTCCTCTTTGTGGATCTCAATGGCTCTTTGGGTCAGTCTGAACCAGGGAAGGTGGTGTTTGGGGCCAGTAAACTCCTCAAAAACAGAAGGGTATTGTCTCAAGAACCTGGCAACCTTAATGCGCACTCCAAACTGTAAGCCCTTCTTGGAAACGGAAGAAATGGGGATGGAATACTCTTGAGGTGAGGCAGACACTATGTAGTTCTTGAGGGCGATTATGGGCCTTAGTTCAATGGATTTGTGAACCGACTCAATTGATTCCAAATATATATCTTGCTTCCACTTCATGTACACATTAACATAGCTCTGCTTTTGGATATATGCGAAGGGTGGGGAGGGAGACAACATTGAACTACGAGATGAGAAGCGGAGAATCTTGACAATGCACATGGCCGGTCAGGCTGGCTTTGTTCTTGTTTTTTGGACCACCCCGCTGGCTGCTCGTTCAAAAAATTTGAACTATACTGATGAGATTTAGCTGCAAAATCACAACTAGTCGTGTTATGTGACTTATGTCAGGTCGGTTCTGCTACCAATAAAGTTGATGTTTAATTTACAAAATTTAGTCTTAAGAGCAAATAAGTATCAAGTTTTAAGCAATAATCTGCGACTACATGATTAAAGTAAATAATATAAACTATTAACTGAAATAGTGAAATCCAATAGTCCAACGCCTCATGAATTACATTCAATCACATTGCATGCTGGAAAACCAACTAACTTGTTGAAGTAAAAATGAAAATTGCAGTTTTGATCAATCCACCAGTAGAACAAAGAAGAGTCATCTAAGAAGATGAAAAAAATCACTAAAATAACACTCCCTCCATCCCATTGAACTTTTACAATTTTCCTTTTTTGTTTGTCCCAAAAACTTTCACACTTTCTCTTTGAAGTCATTAATTAGAGGTTTTACACATTTCTTTCTCCTCTGCACAAATCTCAACCGCACAACTTTTACTTTTCTTATTCTTTACCTAACTCTAACTTGGCAATGTCTAATAGGATGGAGGTAATATATAAGAAAATGCAAAATGCAAAATAGATGATTAGAATTATTACATAAACTAAAAATATAAAAATGCAATACGTAGTAGATAACTAAAAAAGTTATGAAGCATGGAAACTCTCAACGGTTCACGTTTCCCCATTTAGGAAACTCGGAAGCGTTTCGATACTTCGGAAACTTCACATTCCCGTTTTGGGGCCGTTTCCATAATTAAGAAGAATTGGGAAACCCATTTCCCCGAATAGTTAGCATTTCGGAAACTTTGAGTTTCCAAGTTTTCTGTTTCGTAAAAGATTTTGTGATGGAAAATAGTGTCTTTTTAAAAGAAATTAGTGAATTGTTGTGGTATGTCTTCACAACATTGTGACATTTCGTAACACAATGAATTGCTAGAAATTTATTTCATTTTATGTTTAATTATATACTAATATGTTGTGATTTCAAAATTTGAACATGTGAATATTTTTATTATTGGGTCATTAAACAAATCACATGAAAAAAATTATGTAATCCTTATATTGTTTTAATATTTATGTGTTTTCCCCACGTTTCGTATCCTGTATATTTTAGAAATTACATTTCTCGAGTTTCCCGTTAAATGTTTCTCGTTTCGCGTTTCCCGTTTCACATTTCCATGCTACATAGCTAGAAAGTAAAGCACACTAACTTTATGAGCCTAGAATCGCTGACTAAGTATGGACCTTTCCCCTCTCTGTTTGAGACAATTCTCTTTGCATAAGAACATGCCTCTCCCAGCTGAGTTGAGGGATGCAGCCTGAGCTACTGTTCCGATGCCATATTAATTGATACTGAGGCTTACATTATAAACAAAAAAAGAGAGTAAAATTATATAATAAGGTGTATAACAAAATTTTAAAATTCTCCCCCTCCTCATTTTGAACTTTTCCTTAATTTCTACTAATTATTTTATTAATTTTAAAATTTTAAATAAAATTTCTATTTTGAATCTAAAATTTTTTGGATTTTAAAACGCGAAAGACCGGTGATTTGTAGTTTTTTTGGTTTTGTTTTTTGTTTATTTCGACTAACTTGTTTAAAAAAAATCAACAAAATATTTTAGTTCTGAAAATGCTATGTTATTACTAAAAACGTGAATTCAAAATAATGACGCTTATTATGGTATTACATTTATTGAATTGACAATATTATTTTGAGAATACAGTTCTTTAGTGCCGTGTTTTTTTATCTACTTGGCAAATAGTGCCATTCTATGACACTAACTATAACTAGATTGCAATATTACTTATGATTTTTTAATTTTTCTTCTCTCTAATATATTACATTTTCAAGTTTAAAATACAATTATTTTTACCCGCTAGTGCCATATGACAAAGCCATGATTTCTCAGTTTAAAAGGGACTATTTTTTATTTGAAAGTGCCCTATTTTTCATCTACATATAATTAAATGCCATGTTTTTCGTACGTAAATGTCATCATTTTAACATGGCAATACATAATTGATGGATCACCGGACCGGGGTAGTCGGAATCCAAACAGAATAAGAGAGTGAACTGGTCGGAAAACACAGATAGACAATCCGGCAGTATAACAGTAAGAGAGTGGAGAACGCGAACTCTTTCCACAAGCTGGAAGGTGATATTTATACTAAGAGATAAAAGGCAATACTTGGTGCCCAAGTAAAAAGATGCTGATCAAATGGGACGGAGGCACGTGTAAAGCTATTCTAACAAACTATCGGTCTAACTCGATGGGGAGCAGACACGTGTAAAGGTGATTGGAGAGATAGTCTTGGACAGCCGATTGATTGGAATCATCCCTAACAAACTGCTACCAGAATACCCGCGTGGTTAAGCGTGTGCATTCTGGCATATTATCCGCTGCTGGGGATGACGTGGTGGTACTTCCTTGCGGTGCTGGTCCTTGCGGATTTGTCTAAGTACATAATGTCTTGGTCTGACCTTGAGCTTTATCGGGGTCAGTGATTGGAGACTCGGGCTCATTGTGAGGGGATTCGCCTCCTGTCTATTGTTCTGCCTTCGTGGTGGTTGGCCGCTTGACACTTTGACTCTGGTTGCCCATATACTTGACTTCCGAGGTCGGGCATTCGAGGTCGGGCTCATAACTTGCCGAGTTTGGCCCATTCCTGAGCCTGGTGTTTTCCTGACCTCGAGGTCGGGGTCGGGTGACTTTTCGGCCCTTGGTCATTTCGCTGTCTGGCGCTCATTCCTGACCTTGGTCGGTCGGGGTCGGGGTCGGTCCGATTGTGGACTTAGTCTTTTCACGCACCCCGGTGTGGCCCCGTGATGCTTTCTCACCGGCGATTATGATACCCCTGGGGTATACGGGAATATACTCCATCAATAATATTCCGTTACCTTTATGAAGATGGAAATCTAGCTAGCCAGAGATGGGCAATTAACTCGCAGGAAGAGGATGCTGAAGTGCTAGAAAAGTCGGCGGCAGCGACACCAGAGGACGATGTCGCATCAACGGGAGACGTGGCGGCACCATACGTGGATTCGCTGGAGGGCGGCGGCGTTGGGGAATGCAGCAGCGGATGAGGACTCGCTTGAGAGCAAAGGGAGCGATAGTGGCAGATGAGGCTGCCGCAGGCATCTGTGGCACCGGAGACGGCGGTTGCAACCAGACTTGGTGCTGTTTGATGTCCACGTGTTGCATCTCTCTAAAATATTGTTTTGTTATTTTGGATGATAATATTAATTATTAATAAAGAAATTAGTTTTTCATTAAGGGTAGTTTTGTTAAGCTAGATCTTTTTACTCTTACAGAATATTGAAGTTCTACTTTTACACTTTAAAGTTTAAACATTTTTTGGTCCTAGTTAGGAAAAGCTTTTATTAGTTTAGTTTGCATACTTCTTAGGAATTAATTCTCAAAATTGCACCCTTTAATACTAGGGAAAAATAATTAAAATACCCCAAACTTTAAAGGGGTGTGAAATGAACACCTCAAACTTGCATATGTAATTTAAATATCTCAAACTTTATATAAAAAGTTAGTTTAGCACCATAGTCAAGTATTATTTCTTTCACAAATGTAAATTTATGGTGTTAATTGCATAATTTAAAATATTTTAGATTTCATTAAGACACAATTAACATTCTAAACTTCGATTGCGAAATAAATAATGTAACCCGATTACCCCTAATCTATATAATTGCAAGACTTTTAATTTGCTATTTATATTATGCAATTAACCCCATAAATTTACATTTTTTAAAAAATAACACTTCGTATATGACATTGGTGCGAAATGCACTGGTTTGCTTACCCACGGCTAACTGCCTGATTTCAGTAAATCTGTTAAATGTTCACAAAAACTAAATATATTCATTCTTATTCCTTTAGAGAATCTCAAACTGAAAATAAAGTTAGTTAACAACATAATTAAATTGTTAGATTTCTTTTAGGAATTTCATCGAGCACTTAGAAAGCAAGATCATCAGGTTCAATATTTTAAGGTAGTACTCCACATTATTGAAAGTTTAAAGCATTCAAAATATGGAGCATAAAGAATTAGAAGGAAACCCTGCAAAAATGATAGTTATACAAAGTTCAAAACCAATATACTGACTTGAAATCCCTAGATGACGACATAATATAAATCAAATTACCAACCTTTTCAATAAAATTGTGCTATCTCTCTTGCATTGTCAGTGAGTGTTCTATGTTGCGTCATCTGTTTCTAACTGGGAGGAGGAGAGAAGCTTTCTAGGAGGTGAAATGTAAGAATACTCTAGCTCGCGGCCTTTCTCGTGTAAACTCTGCATATCGCAAATGGAGTACTTTTTAATTTCAAAGTTAGTTATCGCAGGGCGGATCGGCATTGAGGTGGGGCCAAATTTATTCAAAAAACATATACTCGTACTACATAACATGTCAAAATACAGATTCCCTAAATTACTACTAACTCCGTAATAAATTAGCGAGGGTATGATGGGAAGATAATGAAATAATGTGATAGAATGAAGGATAAACCAAAAAAGTACTTGTAATAGTGTATTATTTTTAAAATTACTGAGAGTATGATGAGAAGATTTAGAAATGAGAAGATATGAATGTTACGGATGAAAAAATAAAAGTAAACAGATATGAATGTTACGGAGGAAGTATGTATTTAACAAATTTATTTTCATGTGCAAAATAACATCTCTTACAACTTAAATGTCAAAGACAAAAATAAATAAATATTATGAGAATAAGGAGTTTGTCAAAATCAAATACATAAAACATCTCAAGCCCATAAACATTGAACTAATTTTCACATTGAATAATTGAACTAATTAATTTTTCAACAATGCTTGATGTGCCCACCCTTATACCCACCCATGTTTGTGAAGGTTTTTCTTGTTTGTGAATGGAACTCACAAACAAAAAAAACTTCACAAACATGAGTGGGTATAAAAGTGAGTATAAGAGTGGGTACAAGCATCATTTTTTGTTAATTTTTTAGGCTAATATTCAAAAGCCCAAAGCATGCCCATTATTAGTATGAAGCCCATTCAATGAGTTTAAGTTTGTAGTAATTGATCCTAGGAGATCCAGTTTAAATAGATATGTACGAAGGAAGAATCATTCTCTTCTTTCAATGTGGGACAAAGAGATTTAAGGGCAAAAACCTGAAATTTTAAAAGACAATGCCACATTTGCAAAATTTAATTTAGGGAATCCAGCTCTCAATGGGGGTTGCTCAAATAGCAACGTCCTCACATGCCGGATCTAATTCCATTCCGCCATCACGAATTTTGTAACCAATTCGACTTTTTTAATTATTATACCATTGTTGCACAACATTATATTAGAGTGTGTGTGAATATACTGAATTTTTTTGAGGTAGGGCCTGGGCCCTCCCTGACCCTAAGGTAGATCCGCCCCTGAGTTATTGGTCGATCGGTTTGTGATGGATGAATGTTTTACGTAACAAATCATTGAACCGGATTGTCAGTTGGATTCAGTGACCGATCATGTCGGTTTTTAACTTCGGTTAACTTTAATCGGTTATCCGGTTTCAGTTGTTTTGTCGGTTTTTTCAATTTGTGGTTTTTTGAATTTTGTAATTTTTTCTTCACCATACTTTCACCGTAGTTTTATTTCCAATTTCTAATATAATCGTCTAATACCACTGATTAAAGTTTCCCTATTACATATAGGGATGGACTGGGTTTGGGCGGTCCGGTTCAGGACCGATTCGGGACCGGTACTGTTACGTCCATGGAATGGTTCGGGACCGGTACTGTTAGTACCGACCAAGTACCGGTTTTCCGGTATCGGTACCGGCTCGGTACCCGGACCGTGGTAGAAAAGGATTGGGCTCGAGCATGCATTTTCGGCACCGAACGGGACCGGCCTAGTCTTGGCCAAACGGCTAGTTTGGGACCGACCCGGCTCCATGCCGAATTACATATTACATATTATCTTCAACCCGCTAAGATTAGGCATGAGATCGGTTCGGTTGTTATGAAAAATTAGTGGAACTGGTTCAGTTCCGATTTAAAAAAACTATAGCCGTATGGAATCGAATCAAGTGTAAACGGTTTGTGGAACAAACCCAAGTGTAAACGGTTCGGTTGTTGAATTTTTTTCGGTTCCTAACAACATTGTGATATTTTTGTTTTTGCAGCACTAAAACCATCAACATCTAAAGTAATAAGTATTCATCCGTACAAACAACCATGGGAAAACTGTCAAATAAGCCTTCGTAGTATATGAAAAAAGTCAATTAGACCCTCGTACTTCAAAATCACTCAATTGGATCCTCAAACTATCAAAAAAATGCCCAAATCAGCAGTTTAATAGGTTAAGAGCATCTCCAATGGTTGCTTTTACGGACTTGCTTGCAATTTTGAAGCTACTGGCCTACCATTGGAACATTGCTCTTCCTTTTGCTTGAGAAAGCTAATTAGCCTAAATGAGCTACTAGTTTGAGCAAGGATAATTATTAAATATAGCATTATAGATAATAAAAGCAAGAGGAAAAAGTTATAGTTAACCATTGAAGTATATTTGAATTTTGCTACAAATACTTATGTGACTAGTCAAGCTATAAGGACAATTAGCTAACCGATGAAGATACTCTAATAACAAGTTCTCTGGTAACTGTATACGTGTTACATCCATGTGGATTTTTAATAATATTTTCTTTTTTAACAACAGTTCCTTTCTCTGTTCTTATTTATGGCCGGCTTCTTCTGCTCCAAGCACATCCACGTCTAGAGGATGGGATATCGTTGCATCTCTTCTTCTTCAATCCTCCCTAGCATTAATAGATTTTAGAGTAGGAATAGATTGAGACTGAAAAGCTTGATTCATTCCAGAATATGATATCCTATTTATTCAACCTTTTTGAGACTAATAAGGTAGGTTACTAATAATAATATTAAATACAAAGATATGTAACTGATTTATAATATTAAATACAAATATTGTGTAACTTATGTAACGGTTCTCTGGAGCTGTCTAGACTCTTCTATATGCCCCGCAAGCCAGGTATTCTATCAGTGCTGAGAATCCTGAGCTTGTCACGTAGAAAAACAAACTGTTGCCGTGAAAGGGGTTTGATGAGAATGTCAGCTAGTTGATCATGTGAGGGGATATGAAGGACTCGAAGAAGACCACGTTGCACACGTTGACGGACAAAATGGAAATCAATGGCAACATGCTTCATGCAGGAATGAAATACAGGATTGGCGGAAGAAGTGATAGCGCCTTTATTATCACATAGAAGAACCGGAGGAGAAGTAGGTGAATGTTGGAGCACATGAAGAAGTGACTCAATCCAGAGTGTTTCGGATGCAGCAGTGGAAAGAGCCCGATACTCTGCTTCGGTAGAGGATTTGGCAATTGTTCGTTGCTTGGATGATTTCCAGGAAATAAGTGTGATGGATAGCCTGCCCAATCAGCATCCTGGAAATCATCCAAGCAACGAACAATTGCCAAATCCTCTATCGAAGCAGAGTATCGGGCTCTTTCCACTGCTGCATCCGAAACACTCTAGATTGAGTCACTTCTTCATGTGCAAACACTCCGAGAAAATAAGGAAATAAGGAGCGGTCATCAGGATTGCCTGCCCATCGGCATCAGCATAAGCACATAAGGAAAAGGAAGAACTCCGTCGAAAATATAAACCATGAGAGGCAGTTCCTTGAAGATAACGCAAGAGGCATTTCATGAGTTTCCAATGATTCACCGTGGGTTTGTGCATAAACTGAGCAAGCTTGTTGATGGCAAAGGCAGTGTCAGGTCTGGTGAGATTTAAATACTGAAGGGAGCCAATGACCTACCGATAGAGAGTTGCATCACAAGAACCCGAACTATCAAACAGAGTCAAGGAAGTTGAAGATGTTAGAGGTGTGGATACTGGATTCGCCTCATGCATATTCAGCACCTGTAATAAATCTGTAATATACTTGTGTTGATCAAGAAAAAGACCATCTTGTGTAAGGGTGACCTGGATGCCCAAGAAATAATGTAAGGATCCTAAATCCTTAATGGAGAATTTCTATGTCAATATGTCAATAGTCCGATGAATTAAAGCTGGTGTAGAGTCAGTGACAATAATATCATCCACATATACTAACACGTAGATATAAAAGGGACAAGAAGAAAATATGAAGAGATTGACATCAGAAATGGATTGATGAAAACCAAGGGATAAAAGAAATCCACTGAGAGACTGGTACCACACTCGAGGGGTTTGTTTAAGCCCGTAGATGGATTTCTTAAGGCGACATACTCTCCCAGAGCCATCATTGAAACCAAGAGGTTGTTTCATGTAAACTTCCTCTTAGAGAACTCCATGTAGAAATGCATTATTGACATCGAGCTGATTGACCTGCCAGCCATGAGAGAGAGCAATGGTTAGAACAACCCGAATAGTAACTGGTTTGATAACTGGGCTAAAGGTCTCAGAGTAATTAATCCCTGGGCGTTGGTGAAAGCCCTTAGCCACCAGTCGAGCTTTGAAACGGTCCAAGGATCCATCGGGCTTATATTTCATAGTATAGACCCATTTCCAACCAACAATGTTTTGATCAGGATGAGCAGGTACAAGCTCCCAAGTTCCTTGTTGAACTAAGGCATCAAATTCCACAGACATAGCCTTTCTCCATTCAGGTACCTGTAAAGCTTGAGAAGCACAAGTATGAATAATATGACGGGGTAATGATGAGTGGGTAACAACATTAGCTTGCTTACGGGGACGAAGGGTCATTGGGTGGGTACGTTTGGGAGGGAAGGGGTGTGGATCATGATGGTGATCCAAGGTCGATACGGAACTATTGGGAGTGGGAATAACTGTTGAGGTGGTGGTGTTGGGTGTAACTGGCAAGGATGGGGTGGTTGGTTTTTGTTTGGGCCGGCGTTGGTAAATGACAAGAACCGGTGGGTGAGAGGCGGGTGGATTGGTAGGAGGTGAAAATGAGGTGGAGTTAGACATATTAAGGGAGTCTTGTTGTGTCGAGGTATGAGTAACGGGAGACGCCTTTGCTAGTGATGTACCTGAAATATGGAGATATGAAATAGGTGGTTGAAGCCAATTATCAATATCAGAGGACAAATTTGCAGCAGTTGTTGGACTGTTAGAAAAGGGAAAGACAGACTGATTGAACACCACATGCCGACTAATAAAGTTTTATTGGAAGTAGGATCAAGGCAACGATAAGCACTTTGCTGGTCACAATAGCCAAGGAAAATATAAGGTCGGGACCGGGGTTCTAACTTATGGGCCATGTAAGGACGAAGCCATGGAAAACATTGACACCCAAAAATAGCAAGTTTTGTGTAGTTGGGAGGTTTTTGAAAAAAAAAAATCAAAGGGAGTACAAAAACCTAGAGAAGCTGTCGGTTGTCTATTAATTAAATAAACAGCGGTCAAAAAGGCATATGACCAATATTTAAGTGGCATAGAAACATGGTAAAGTAAAGTAATGCCTGTTTCTACAATATGCATATGTCGACGTTCAGCAAAGCCGTTATGTTCAGGGGTATATGGAGGGGTAAGTAAGTGAGAAATGCCACAGGAGGCCAGGAATTTCCCTAGAGAAATATATTCACCTCCTCCATCAGAGTAAACCGTTTTAATGGAATTTTGAAAAAAGTTTTCTACAATTTTTTTAAATTGTTGAAAATTTGAGGTTACCTCCGATTTGTGGGTGAGAGTGTAAAACCAAATGTATTTTGTGTAGTGATCAACAAAAATAACATAGTAACGGAAACCATCTACAGAACTAATACGAGAAGGGCCCCAAACATCTGTATAAATTAAGTCAAGAGGAGCAGAACTAGAAATAGAAAATTTAGCAAAAGGTAACTGGTGACTTTTATTACTCGCACACGAAGTGCAAAGAGATAGACCCTTACTAACATCTTTAAAATTAATACCTAATGAGGAAATAAATTTTTTTGAGTGACAGGAAGGACAGGATGTCCTAAACGGCAATGCCATTTATTTAGAGAAAATTTTGTAGTAATGTTAACACTTCGAGACGCGGGAACTGGAACATCAGGCAAGCTGTAGACGTCACCGTTATTCATACCCCGTAACAAAATTGCTCCCATTTTCCGGGTCCTTAACAAGACAAAAAAAAGGGTGAAATTCGATTAGTACATCATTATCACGACATAATTTAGCAACAAAAATTAAGTTAGTATGAATAGAAGGGATAAAAAGAGTATTAGGTAAGGATAGAGAATGAAGGGTCATATTTCCAACTTGTGCAATCACAAGACTTTTACCGTTACCAATAATTAGGGAGTGTGTGCCGGTGTAATCGGGCGCCAAGGTGAGGTTATTTAAATTATTGGTGACATGATTAGTTGCCCCCGAATCGAGTAACCATCCATTTTTCCTGGTCGTGGCAGTATTGGCTTGGGGCGGGTAATTTTGTTGTTCAAACCTGTGCCAACAATTAATAGCCAGATGGTTCCGATTTGCCACAAATTGACATATAATAACCGAACTTGACCTGGTATTAACCCCAAAATTGGTACGCCCGCACAGGTGATTATTGATGCCCCCGGGAGTACTGTTTCCACGCCAACCGGAATTGTAAAAATTGTAGGGGCGTTGACCTCTATTCTGACTTCTGCCAAAATTTTGAATCTGAGTATTGGAGTTGGGCCTAAAATAGATGTGCGCTGATCTGGAGTTATGCGAACGACCATAGCTGCAGAAACGCTACCCTCGCTCTTCTCTTCAACAACAGCTGCGTTCGCAATTACAACGGCGGTGGGATTCAAGGCTTCTTTCCTGCGCATCTTCAAACGTAACCTCATCTGGACGAATGGAATTCTCCATAGCTTCAAATTCGGGACGAAGACCTTCCAGGGCTTGAATGGCAAAATCCCCGTCGTCAACTGGTCGGCCGGCCATGGCGAGTTCATCCGCAAGTGTGTGAAGGTGATGAAGGTATTCGCTGACAGGTTGGGAGCCTTGTTTCATATGGCGGAACTGATCTTTGAGACTTCGGATTTTGGAGGCAGACCGAGTCCCGTATAGAGGCTCCAGGGTCTTCCATACGGAGGCAGAGGTCTTGGAAGATCCAACCAGGGGCTTGCAAGCTGAGCTGAGAGATGAGACCAGGGTATGCCGCAACAGACGATCCTGTCTGTTCCACCGGAGAAGGTTGTCTGCTTCATTTTTTGGAGGGGGATTGGTGTTTTTATCAATGTACTGATCTAGGTGAGCACCGAACAGAAGGTCCATCACCTGGTCTCTCCATACAAGGTAATTGGATCCATCTAATTTTTCTGGGAACTGACTAGGGTTAAGCATGATAAGGCCATCGGGGTTAGGGAGTTGTTGACTGAGAGTGGTGGGTTTGAGTTACCTTGAGAATCTTCTCTGTTTTCTTCAGTAGCCATGGCAGACACTCCTATGATAAAATTGGCTGGTTAGAGCTCTAGAGGCTCTGATGCCATAATAGATTTAAGTGTAGGAATAGATTGAAGCTGAAAAGCTTGATTCATTCCAGAATATGATGTCCTATTTATTTCAAATCCCGATAAGATTCTCGATTTTCAAATTCTCAGATTCTCGATTTTCAAAATAGTCCTATCGATTCATTCCAGAATATGATGTCTTATTTTGGTCTTCTATTCATTTCTCAGATTCTCGATTTTCAAATTCTCCATCCCGATAAGTTCATGGCTTCATCAGCGACGAAGCCCTATATAGGTAAGCGTATATTGTTTTCTTTTTAATTTCCCCTAATTCAGATTGCTAAGTTTTGGTTTATACATAGGGATTTTTGGGTTCATCTTTTTGATTATGGTCTAGATGTCTGATCTTATTCAGAAGCTTGATTTTGGGGTTTTGATTTTGCGATCTTATTCATAATATTTATGAGCTGATTTTTTTGGGGGTGTGAATCATGTGATGATTCATTCCATTTGTACGTGTGTTTATTAGTGTTCTTCTTCCGGTACAATTTGTTTGTATATATAGGGGTGTTTGGATTTGTTTTTAAAAAGCTTGTGCTCCTTGGGAAACAAAAACTTAGTATTAGAGTGTTTGGGTGAAAGTGGTGTACTTCGGGATGTTCTAAATTACTCATAGAAGTAGTTTTTTAGGAGTTGGGAAGATCAGCTGACAAATTGATTTTGATTATTCTTCTTCTTTTAAAAAACAAGTAAAAGCAAAATCAAAATTGAATCAATTTGCTTTCAAAAGCTGGAAGTTTGCCTCTGAAGTAAATCGTACTCCCTCCGTTCCTAAAAATTCTTCCCAGTTTGACTTGTCACGCTTATTAAGAAAGTGCAATAAAGTGGAAATGTATGATTGTGGTTGTGTAAGAAAAGGGTAAAATGAATGTGAGCCACACAAATTGTCCAAAATGGGAAAGTGGAAAGTATTTTTGGGAACAGCCCAAAAAGGAAAGTGAGAAGTATTTTTGTCAACAGAGGGAGTAATTGAATGAAACAACTTTCATAAAGTAAGGAGGCTATCAAATATTTGTTTGTTTGAGCTATGCTGATCCAAAAGCAAATATGTAACTCCAATATTAAATGGAATTTTCTGGAATAGTTCTGTATCATTTGTGTTTGTTGCATATCTGTGTTCACTATTTTTAACGTGGCTTTAGTTCATCACCTACAAATAGAGAAGTGTCATTTCAGATTTTAAGGGTTCACCAACCCAAACTTTTTTTGGTTTTATTTACTTGAAGCTGGTATCTTCTTTTTGCCAATTTCCTCATTGAAGACCAAATATGTAAAGGTTACAACTCCGTTGCTCGTTCACTTTCATAATTAGATATTAATATAAGTATTAGTTATGAATTGAAATCAGTGTATTTTTATTTTACTTTTTGTTAAGCTTTCAGTTTTTATTATATTTGAACTTTAATGCTTGAAATGGTTGTTGAGAAAACTGTCAAACAAGCTCCTGTACTATATTAAAAAAGTCAATTAGATCCTCGCAAGGGCGGACCCACCCTAGGGCTAGGGTGCCCGGGCCCCCCAGTGATTTTTTTTATTATATATATATATTATTAATTTTTATTAACTTGGGCCCCTGCAGCCCAATCCCAATCCCCCTTTCCCTTGTCCAGTTGTCTGCTCGGCCCAAATTCTCGTTCCCCCTTTGGCCCATTCCCGTACCCCTTTCAGCCTTTCCCAAATCCCAAATCCCGTTCCCCGCTTCCCCCCTTTTGGCCTTTCCCGACCCGGCGAGCCCTGCACGCGAGATGGTGAGAGGCGAGACCGAGACGGCGAGAGGCGAGACGCCGGCGAACTCCGATCTGCGGCACCGCCCACCGCCCACGCGGCCACGCCAGGAACTCCGAACTCCTAGTCCCCGTCGGCCGTCTCCCACAGTCCGACGAAGTGACGATTGACGAAACGAAGGTGAGGAAGGCACCGAGCTGCGGGCCAGCGGTAGTGCCGAAGGTATGTTTTAATTTTTTTTTAATTGTTGATTTGTTGATGAATCATGAATGATTTATGCTTCATTGAATCATTGATTCGTATATGTTGTGTGACTTATCACTTATGATTTAAATGTTGAATACTTGAATAGTTCAAATTTGAAAAATTATACTCATATTATTTCAAATTTCAATTGTAGTTGGTCTAGGTTGTGTTACAAACAATCACTATGTTACGATATTTTTCGGCAATTCCGCCGAAACCGAAACAGCCTATCATTGGTGGTTCTTCATCGAATAATTTAATTTCTTCATCGGAAAATGTCATTCCTAACAATGAGACTAATGTTAAAAAAGCTCGAATAGAGATTGAATTGTCGGATGATGACATTGTTGGTGATCTTGGATTGCGTAAGCCGATTGAGACATATGATGTTAATATTAGAGATGAGTTGAGGAGACGTTATTTGACAAAAGGTCCTTGCCAACTGCGTGACTTAAATTTCCACAAAGTGATTTTAATGGGCGCAACAGATCATTCCAAAAACAGTGGTTTGATGAATTTAATTGGTTGGAGTATAGTGTTGCTAAAGATGCAGCATTTTGCCATTTGTGTTATTTGTTTGGTAGACATCATAAAAATGGAGATGATGCTTTTACTGAAGTTGGGTTTAATAACGGGAGGAAAGCTAAGGAAAAATTCCGTGACCACGAAGGAACTCTAGAAAGCATGCATCATTATGCAAAAATTAAATGGTCCGGGTTTCAAAACCAAAAGCAAAATGTGGATTATGTATATTCACAACAAACCATGAAAGATGAGCTTGATTATCGTGCAAAATTAACAACTATTGTTGATGTAGTTCGATTCCTTTTAGAGGGTGGTTTGGCTTTTCGAGGTCACGATGAATCAGCTACTTCTACGCAATCTGGTAAATTTTATTATATTATTTCCATTATTTTTTATTATTGATTTCATTATAAAATTCTAATGACTATTGCATGTTTGCATAATTGCATTATTTGTATTTACAGATAATTTTCTTGAACTCTTGAAATGGGAGTGTAGACGGCATCCACATATTGATATGGTAATGAAGTCAAATGCTCCCAGGAATAGTCAACTAACCTCTCCTAAAATTCAAAAGAACGTTATTAATGCTTGTGCAACTGAGGTAAGACTAGCTATTATTAATGAGGTTGGTAGCAATTTTTTCTCTTTGTTGATTGATGAGGCTCGAGATAGTTCCATAAAAGAGCAAATGTCTGTGGTTTTAAGGTTTGTTAACAATTGTGGGGAGGTAATTGAGCGATTTTTGGGAGTGGTGCATGTTAGTAACACTTGTGCGCAGACATTGAAAAATGTCATTGATGATTTTTTTGCAAAATATGATCTTTCGATGTCTAAGGTTCGAGGCCAAGGTTATGATGGGGCTTCCAATATGAGTGGTGAATTAATGGCTTAAAACAAAAAAAATTGGAGGAAAATAAGCAAGCACATTATGTTCATTGTTTTGCTCATCGCCTTCAATTAGTGATTGTGTCCTCTTTGAAAAGCAATGGAATAGTTGGTAGTTTTTTTTATCATCTCATCATGATTGTAAATGTGGTTGGTGCATAGTGACCTCGAAAAGCCAAACCACCCTCTAAAAGGAATCGAACTACATCAACAATAGTTGTTAATTTTGCACGATAATCAAGCTCATCTTTCATGGTTTGTTGTGAATATACATAATCCACATTTTGCTTTTGGTTTTGAAACCCGGACCATTTAATTTTTGCATAATGATGCATGCTTTCTAGAGTTCCTTCGTGGTCACGGAATTTTTCCTTAGCTTTCCTCCCGTTATTAAACCCAACTTCAGTAAAAGCATCATCTCCATTTTTATGATGTCTACCAAACAAATAACACAAATGGCAAAATGCTGCATCTTTAGCAACACTATACTCCAACCAATTAAATTCATCAAACCACTGTTTTTGGAATGATCTGTTGCGCCCATTAAAATCACTTTGTGGAAATTTAAGTCACGCAGTTGGCAAGGACCTTTTGTCAAATAACGTCTCCTCAACTCATCTCTAATATTAACATCATATGTCTCAATCGGCTTACGCAATCCAAGATCACCAACAATGTCATCATCCGACAATTCAATCTCTATTCGAGCTTTTTTAACATTAGTCTCATTGTTAGGAATGACATTTTCCGATGAAGAAATTAAATTATTCGATGAAGAACCACCAATGATAGGCTGTTTCGGTTTCGGCGGAATTGCCGAAAAATATCGTAACATAGTGATTGTTTGTAACACAACCTAGACCAACTACAATTGAAATTTGAAATAATATGAGTATAATTTTTCAAATTTGAACTATTCAAGTATTCAACATTTAAATCATAAGTGATAAGTCACACAACATATACGAATCAATGATTCAATGAAGCATAAATCATTCATGATTCATCAACAAATCAACAATTAAAAAAAAATTAAAACATACCTTCGGCACTACCGCTGGCCCGCAGCTCGGTGCCTTCCTCACCTTCGTTTCGTCAATCGTCACTTCGTCGGACTGTGGGAGACGGCCGACGGGGACTAGGAGTTCGGAGTTCCTGGCGTGGCCGCGTGGGCGGTGGGCGGTGCCGCAGATCGGAGTTCGCCGGCGTCTCGCCTCTCGCCGTCTCGGTCTCGCCTCTCACCATCTCGCGTGCAGGGCTCGCCGGGTCGGGAAAGGCCAAAAGGGGGGAAGCGGGGAACGGGATTTGGGATTTGGGAAAGGCTGAAAGGGGTACGGGAATGGGCCAAAGGGGGAACGAGAATTTGGGCCGAGCAGACAACTGGACAAGGGAAAGGGGGATTGGGATTGGGCTGCAGGGGCCCAAGTTAATAAAAATTAATAATATATATATATAATAAAAAAAATCACTGGGGGGCCCGGGCACCCTAGCCCTAGGGTGGGTCCGCCCTTGCGAGGATCTAATTGACTTTTTTAATATAGTACAGGAGCTTGTTTGACAGTTTTCTCAACAACCATTTCAAGCATTAAAGTTCAAATATAATAAAAACTGAAAGCTTAACAAAAAGTAAAATAAAAATACACTGATTTCAATTCATAACTAATACTTATATTAATATCTAATTATGAAAGTGAACGAGCAACGGAGTTGTAACCTTTACATATTTGGTCTTCAATGAGGAAATTGGCAAAAAGAAGATACCAGCTTCAAGTAAATAAAACCAAAAAAAGTTTGGGTTGGTGAACCCTTAAAATCTGAAATGACACTTCTCTATTTGTAGGTGATGAACTAAAGCCACGTTAAAAATAGTGAACACAGATATGCAACAAACACAAATGATACAGAACTATTCCAGAAAATTCCATTTAATATTGGAGTTACATATTTGCTTTTGGATCAGCATAGCTCAAACAAACAAATATTTGATAGCCTCCTTACTTTATGAAAGTTGTTTCATTCAATTACTCCCTCTGTTGACAAAAATACTTCTCACTTTCCTTTTTGGGCTGTTCCCAAAAATACTTTCCACTTTCCCATTTTGGACAATTTGTGTGGCTCACATTCATTTTACCCTTTTCTTACACAACCACAATCATACATTTCCACTTTATTACACTTTCTTAATAAGCGTGACAAGTCAAACTGGGAAGAATTTTTAGGAACGGAGGGAGTACGATTTACTTCAGAGGCAAACTTCCAGCTTTTGAAAGCAAATTGATTCAATTTTGATTTTGCTTTTACTTGTTTTTTAAAAGAAGAAGAATAATCAAAATCAATTTGTCAGCTGATCTTCCCAACTCCTAAAAAACTACTTCTATGAGTAATTTAGAACATCCCGAAGTACACCACTTTCACCCAAACACTCTAATACTAAGTTTTTGTTTCCCAAGGAGCACAAGCTTTTTAAAAACAAATCCAAACACCCCTATATATACAAACAAATTGTACCGGAAGAAGAACACTAATAAACACACGTACAAATGGAATGAATCATCACATGATTCACACCCCCAAAAAAATCAGCTCATAAATATTATGAATAAGATCGCAAAATCAAAACCCCAAAATCAAGCTTCTGAATAAGATCAGACATCTAGACCATAATCAAAAAGATGAACCCAAAAATCCCTATGTATAAACCAAAACTTAGCAATCTGAATTAGGGGAAATTAAAAAGAAAACAATATACGCTTACCTATATAGGGCTTCGTCGCTGATGAAGCCATGAACTTATCGGGATGGAGAATTTGAAAATCGAGAATCTGAGAAATGAATAGAAGACCAAAATAAGCTACGCTTTCTACTTTCTCCCTTTCCTCTGATGCGTGATGATTGATACCGATGAGTGATGAGCTTTCAGATTTTAGCGGGAAGCGTCAAAATACCAAATGTAATCCTGATTCCCGAGTGCTCGACAACCCTTGTCCGTAAGACTATATGTAATTGTATACCGTTTCCATATTTGTTCTTTGCACAAATTTTCAACCGGAATCGGGAACCGAACCAGTACTAGCCCAATTGAAGGAACAGAACCAAACCAGGCTATAGCAGTTCGGTTCGATTTGGTTCTCCGGTTCCCGGTCCCATAATCCCAATCCTAGCTAAGATTATCATATTTATACTTTTCGTTCCATCTCATTAAGATTGTCTCATACTAAATTTGATAAAATTTGTGTGTTTCTAAGTCATACTTATTTGGGAAAGAACTATCAAATAAGCCCTTGAACTTTCATAAAAAGTGCAAATAAACCCTTTTACAGGAGTGTTTTCCGGTGGAATTTTTTGATGAATTTTTTTGAGCATCTTCTTCATTAAGTCTAGTTTATCCATACCAAATTTCAGCTAAAAGTTCAATCGAGAAGGCAGTCAAATGATTTTCTGAAATATATTGCGCTGCCTAACTGCGCAATTATCTTCAAAAATTCATTTGACTGCCTTCTCGATTGAATGTTTAGCTGAAATTTGGTATGAGTAAAGTAGACTTAATGAAGAAGATGATAAAAAAAATCATCAAAAAATTCCACCGGAAACCGCCTCAAATGGCGACGGCCGGATAGAGCCTCCTATAAAAGGACTTATTTTATCTTTATTTTATCAATTCAATATGAATCACATAAATTCATACGAAGTATTTCTTAATAACTGCATCATATCTTCATATTTCTTAATAACTGCATCATATTTGATTCATATGGTATAGTTTCCTTCGTCATTACCTGCTTGCCACAGTTCATTTATGACCATCACAAATCCATTACTAGTTTTCAAATAAATGACTAAAATGCCGAAGTTTTAAATCTACTTAAATTCAATCTCTTTTTTGTACATTCAAATGTCCGGTCTTAAAGATGTGGTTGACCATAGAGTACTTCTTTTCAGAAGTTGTGAGGAGTATATAAAGATGTATATTTTGGCTTGGTGAAAGTAGGAGCAAATGTTGTATTTAGATATGAATTCTCTAAATGGAGTTGTATATTTTACCCATAATACCATATACTATCAAAGTTGATATATTATTAATGCATCATCATCCTTACCCAGTTACCCCGGTGCCACGAACTGCAGAGGCATAGCCAGGACGGATATTCACCCTGGGCCAACTATACACTAAATACATTATATTAAAATTTTAAAAGCGTAAATAGTGTGAACATAATGAATAAAATCCATTAAAAAATTTGGTTGATATGGTCCAAGCATCAAATAAGATCGTCTGAATTCATCTCTTTTCTCTAACGGTTAATCACATATCATTTTCCGTTTCTTGGATCCCGTTCAATTACAAGTGAATCAGAAACTACTTTCTCTTGAGCGGATGAGATATTAGGAATTTCAATTAAGACATTTAACTCTTGTCTACTTTGTGTGCTTGTACTAGACTTATAAAACGAACGCAATGTGATTTTTATCTTTTTGGAAGTAGATTGAGTAGTCATACCTACTAAAATTAGCAATAAAATAAAAAACTAATCAATATTTTATTCTAATTCATACAATTCATATTAATATTTTAAGAAATTCGCAAATCACATTAGAGATTCCTAATTTTCCATTTCAAAATTCAAAGCACACAAATCAATTGTACACACTAACACAAACTAAAATAACATTTAAAACACTTAAATTAAACCATAAATTGTATTTAAAAAATAAAGAAACTATTTCCTTAGGGTCTTAGGCTGAGTCGATACTGGAGTCCTCAAATAGGGTTATGCCTCCCCAATGACCTCAAATATCCCGACCTTTGGGCTTAGAAGAAGAGCAGTCTTCCTCAGAGCATCAGCCTGCACAGAAGAGCAGGAGCAGGAGCAGGAGCATACGAAGAGCATCAGAGGGTGGGCGTCCGGCCTCCAACGGTGAGAACGTGTGAGTGATAAAGCGGCGGAGAGGGGCGTCCGGCTAATTGAAATCCCAGTGGCTGCTGAGGCGTGCGTGATGCGTGCAGTGTCCGTCTCTGGCTTGGCTGTTGCGCGTCGTTTCTTTAGATTGGCACTGGGCTGTATTTTTTCACTGGGCCAGAATGATTCTACGTTGGAAGCATATGTATTGGCACTGGAAGCATATATATATTTGACCCCTACGGTGAAGTAAAGGGGTCAAATATACGCAGCCTTATCCCTGTATTAAAGCATAAAGAGTTTGTTACCGGATGACCCATAATTGATATAGTATTAATTATATTTAAAAAATTACCACTATGTAATTGATTATGGGAGAGAATAATTTAAATACCCCAAACTTTGAAGGAGTATGATGTAAGCACCCTGAACTTGCATATGTAATATATATATCCCGAACTTTATATAAACAATAATATTAGTACCATGAACATATGTTTTTTCTTTCACAATGTAAATGTATGATGTTTTAACTTTTAACTACACCTCTATAAATACTTTCAAGTATTTTAAACCATGTGTTTAACACTATAAATTTAAATTTCTGAATGAAAAACTATATAGTAATGGTGTTAACGTAATTTTTATGTAAAGTTCAGTTATATATATTACATATGTAAATTTAGATGTTTATCTCACACTTTTCGAAGTTTGGAATATTTAAATTATTTTCCCTTTGATTGTAATATTTGTTGCTGCGATTTGATCCAACTACCGGTCACATGAACGTGTTATACCCAACAATAAGACAATAATATATGCAGGTGAAAATAATATACCGAGTAACAAATATTTTTCAAATTTGACATTGATTTTGATTCTAGTTCTTTTTTAAAAAAGTGACCAGAATCAAAGTTTTTTATGGTGTGATAAAATACTTCTAGCTAGGCATGGACTCGGGCCGGGCCTGATCGGGCTTTTTTCTGGATTCTTGAGGCTCGGAACCGGCCCGGGTAGCTACCGGGTCCGGTTCGGGTCAGGCCGGGCCTCGGGCCGGTTACCTTTTTTCTAATTACTTCCTACCCCCCACCCACCCCCACACCCCAAACCCCTCTAAAACACCCAACCCTACCCATTTACCTTTTAAAGAATTAGAAACATAAAAAAAAAATGGCCCGAATCGAGCCCGACCGGAGCCCAGTGGCGGACGTGTATGTGTTCAAAACTATTCTCGTGAACACCCAAAGAATTTTTTTTGTGTAAAAATACATATATAAGTTTTCTAGAATTTTTTCTATAAATAAATTTGAACACCTAAAATTTGAAAAATAAATTTGAACGTCTAAAACTAACATGGTAGATCCGCCACTGCCAAAGCCCAACCCGAAACAGTATCAGGCCAGGTGGCCCGAACCGGACACGGACTTGGGTACCGGGCCGGGCCGGGCTGAAACAGTACCAGGCCGGGCAGGTTACAGGCCGAGTCCATCAGAAGTTCTAATACTTGTGAAAAAGTGAATCAGTTTATAATATTTGGATGATTTGGCATCACAAATTACTTTTTATGTAAAATTAACACAATGACATGGTTTATTGCTTGTGAATTAGAAATAATACTGATTCTGCACTAGATATGTTGTCTAAAAATTTGAACTCAACTAATGTAATTTACACACAATAATTTTAATATTTAAAATTATGTAGACATAATAACTACGTAGTACTTTTTTATAATCGCATCCATATTACGGAGTATTTTGAAAATTGAAGACGCTTAAAACAAGTAAACAACTAAACACTGGATACGAATATCCACAAATATAATGTTCTCATACTCATCTATTTGACCAAAATTATATTCAAATGAACTATCCCATAATTATCTATTTGAACAAAGTTAAATTCAAATGAAAACTTTAAATAACATGTATATGATCATATTTACATTTATTACTTATATAAGTGGGTTTATATTCACCTTCATATTCAATTATTCACATTTACAATAATTATTAATCACAATATCACATGCATATTTATGCACTCCATGATCAAACACTAAAAATTGTCCGAAAGAGCTATAGCAGTTTACAGAATAAAAATTCAAACACTCCCCAAGCTTGCTTTATAGTTTCATAGTATGTGTCACATACTCACATATAGAAAAACAAAACTTTTTGTACAATGGATTATCTTAAAATGAAAATGCAGATGAAACTGGCCCTTGTCGTATATAGTCATTCATTACATCAAATGTACACACAGCCGAGACATGAAAAAGAGAATTTAATGCAACATTCTACGTCTGAGCTCTTCACGACCGCTTTCACCGCACAGAACTTTCATGTATGTAAAAAGAAGTGTTCCCTTCACTTTCTTGGTTTCTCATGTAAATCATATATAGTCTTTAACATTACAATTAACAACAGAAAGCATCAGTAACTCATCAGCTTCCTCAGTCGCTTTTCAGCCAGCTTGGCAATCTTATTTTGTGGTTCCAGAACATGTGCATGCCTAAAATCTGTAAATAAAACAAATATAAATGCAACAGAAATACTTGGGATAGGAATTCAAAATACAAATGCCACTTATTTTCTTATGATTGGAATGTTTTTAAAAAATTACATTTGTTTAGGTAGCTTAGAATTCATATAATATTAAATAAATAAAAATGCATGAGAGAAGGAAGTGGTTTTTAAATTTGTAGGTTAGAAAAGTGAAATCATCCCCAAAAGCTGTGAAAAACATATGCCATCCTAAACTAACATATATTGTATGTACCTTGAAGAGCCTCTTTATACAAAAGAAGGGACTCCTTAGCTGTCCCTCGTCTCAGATACGCCTTTACATTCTACACAAAGAAAATTACAGGTTCTTAGAGCAAACACGATTTCTGAATAATGAATACAGTTAACAGGACCAACAGGCTAAGAGGAGGTCTGTTCCAAACAATAAAATGAAATTCACTCCTTTGTACTCTTTCTTTATTCCCTACTTCTCTTGTGCATCCAACGCAGCTTAAAGGTCATGGCTAACTAAAGATCCTCTTATTTTTGGAATTCATTATTGTATTATACTAAAGATACACAACAATTTCTTGTACCTTCATATCAAGAGAAATTGCTTTATCACAATCCTCTTCAGCTTGTCGAAAGCTGCACACAAATTAAATGCTTGACATAACATCTTTACTCCCAAACAAACAATGAAAACACCCAAAACATATTCATCATACCATCCCAATTCCAAATAAGCAGCTGCCCTGTTGCTATAATAAGTTGCATTTGTCTCATTTAATTTGATTGCTTCAGTATAGTAGCTCACAGCTTTATTCCACAGCCTTCCCTTGTAAGCAGCATTTCCCTGCCAATTACCAATAACAATTCACAAACATGATCCAAAGCTCCCATCAGTTCTTAAACCTCCAAAGGGGGAAATTGTTTCTGGGGCCTCCAAAGAAGAGAATAATAAAAAGAGACATAAATAAGAGAGAAGTGTATTTGCCACTTTTAGTCCTCCAACTATAGTGTCGGTGACACTTTTGGTACTCAACTTTGAGTCTTTCCACTTTTAGTCCTTCAAATATTGTGAGAGCATCTTTGGTCCTCGACTTTGAATTTTACACATTTGGTCCTCTGGTTATTATAAAACTGACACTTTTGGTCATTCAACTATTATCATAGTGACATTTATAGTCATCTACTTATTGTAGCAAAATCTTAGTGGAATGACTAAGTGTCACTTTTATAAAAGTCAAAGGACTAAATATGAATAATTTTAAATGTGGGTAACAAAAGTGTTTGTCACAATAGTCGAATGACTACAAGTGAAAAAATTCAAAATCCAGTAACAAGTGTCCCTGACGGCATAATTGGAGGACTTAAAGTGGGAAAAAATCTAAGAAATAAATATAAAGAGAGATCCTCACAACTATGAAAGATCTCAAAAGCGTAGTTTTCCTTCACAGTAATTCATGAGATAAGAATGAAGTGCAAAGTTAGAGGAGAGCAACCTTTTCTTTCAAAAGTTCAGATTCATCCAGGCTATGAATGGTTTCTGGTAAAATAGATGCATTAGACGCCGTGGTTACTTCTTCATCAAGAGAAGAATGCATATCCATTAAAGTATGAAGCATAAAGTTATCATTTCCATGTGATGCAATGAAAGACACAGAAACTGGAAGATTATCATGTTCTCCAAATGGAACGGCGGCCTGAGGTTCAAACCAATAAACTTTTAGCATCCATCATCAAGGCAAGCATACTTATTTGAGCAACTAAGATTCAAATCTGAGTTTTACACTTTTTAAGAACTCAATACCTCACAGCAGCCCGAAATGCTGGCAATGCTCAATAAAGAAAAGGCCCTATCACGAGCTTCCTTAGATAAACCTGTCTTTAAAGGTAGTTTAGACGGAGGATCTGCCGTCGTAGGGATTACTAATATCCCATCATCCTTTAGAAAATAAAGTTAAAACAATTAGGTTAGATATCGCATAATGTAATCAGACACTAGATGAGCATAATTAGGCAATCAAAATATGGGTTTAAAAGATCATCACATAAATAATTCTTTCACCAATTAAAGCCACAACTTCACAACAAATAACCTTCAAAAATATCTGTGCCAGACCAAATATCGAACATAAACAACTTTTAACAGATTAGGCTTTTCAAAATTCAATAAACAAAATGCATCTTTGTGCAATATACGGAGCAACTACTGAACATATGTTAATGCCGGCAAACTTTTAAAAGGCTTAATTGCCTCAATTTCGGTGTTAATTTTTGAACCTACAGCCACTCGATGCAAATGAGCAATTGTAAATTTTTACCTTCAAGAGACTATTTACAGCAGCACGCATTTCTTTCCTGACTTTATATAGAAGCTTGATTTCTTCGGGGGTTAAGGAAATTGCTGCAGTGATACGGTCAGACACATCAGAATCTAACTTGAGTTTAACTTCACACATCCATTCTTCGTAATTTGACCTGAACTCATAGCTGAAAAAGAAATTCAGAACACATAACCAGGGTCGGTCACAATGGTTCATGATATACTTAATTATGGATAAGTAGAGCAGCACGTGCAAAGAAGAATTAAAATATCAACTATTTCTAATTTTCTATCATTGCCAAATCAAGAAACCAAGTAAGAACAGGAAAGAGTACGTACCTCAGCAAAAGACACATCACAGAAGATAAAGCTCTTGAAATTGAATTTCCATGGTTTGTATTTACAGGTTTTTCTTGAAAAGCTTTCAAGCTGGGGACATTTGAGGCAATATACTTTCCAAAATTTATATCTGTTGAGGCCTGGACTGAATAACCAAATAATGTGGCTCTTATTTTTTTTATCACTATCACAACCATATTGTGATTTAGGATAAAGTAGCATGTAAATTGAAAACAACTAAAATAAACCGACTGCAACTTACAGCCAGATAATTTTTCTGTAACTCTTCTTACGACATGTACAGTCTTCAGCTTAGGAACCTTAGACAGTTGAAAAAGATCATCAGCTATTATGATCCGCCTCGTCCTTTTAGGTGGAGTAGAGGAAGACTGAAGTAAAATGCGTCCAATTTTACATAAAACAGATGGGTCACGGGCAAACCAACCTGCAGCAAATATATTAATAATATCAAAAAAATCAAAGTATGCAATGACCATAACCAATAGGAAAATATATCAACACAAATGCAAATTGGTAGCCCAAGTGACATCAAACCAAATCAAAGTAGCATGGCATTTTTCTTTTGGTGTAACAAAATGGGAAACATGGACAAATATCAATGAATTGATAAAGCTCAACAGAACCGAATTCAATTTAAACTTGTACAAGCATAAGACGAACACCATGTTGTACCTATGGCATCTAAACTTTGAGAAATCGCAAGAATGCCAACAGTTGGCACGACTCCGTGAGATGATCTGAATCCAAGGATGCCACAAAAAGATGACGGCACTCTAATGCACCCGGTGGTATCAGTGGCTGCAATATACATTCTATCATGAGTGTAAACTCAATGATTCGGAACATTTCAGAGTTGTATATTTGCACCCCATTTTGTATAGGGGTTTGAAGTTATGGATACCAAATTGCAAACTAAATTCACCATGCTTCGGTAACTTATAACTCAAGACAAACGCTTATACCAAGAGCAAAGTCAACAATATTTGATGCAACGGCAACCGCTGAACCGCTAGATGAGCCTCCCGGAATATATAATGGGAACTTGTGATTGGTTGGAGTTCCATAGTGCACATTCTTTCCAGTGACTCTGAAATTATGGTGCAAGAAAAACTGTGTCAATCTAAAACATGGCAGATCCTCCAACGTCAGATTCATTGGAAAAGGTAAAGAGATAATAAAAAGATAAAGGGAACCATGGCACCACCAGATACTCAGGCATAAGCAAAAATTAGAAGAAAACGTTATTTTCAAAAAATCGTGCATTATTATTCAGAAAGTTTTGACTCTATTGTTAAAGCTTCACAGAGGCATTTCAATTAACGAAGATTTTAAGAACCATTGAGTCTACTCCTAAGTCCAAAAGCAGGCATGGATGTTTAAAGCTGTACACATATACTCCGTATTTAATAATGGACAACATTTCACAATTCAGCAATGTTCTAATAGCTTTGATTCACATCACATGTTCGCATGAAATTAACTATTACCCGAGGCCAAGTTCATCCATAATCGTCTTGCCAACACAAGTAGCTCCACTCTTTAGTAGAGCAGAGACGGCCACTGCCGTCTCAGCAGCTGCTTCATGCGTCCGTTTCCATTCTGGACTACCAAACCCCGTCACGTACCCCTTCACATGAATACTAGAAAACAAGAAGTTAAAAAATTGAAGGAAACCATACACACACAGAAATCGATGGGCAGATGGCAGGGGGTAAAGGGTTGGCGACCAACTTGTCATTGATGGCAAATGTGAGGCCGGTGAGGATGAGTCTAGCAGCGGGAGGAGATGGTTGAGGAAAAGGAACTAGCTCAAAACGTTCGATGAATGCACCACAATCTTTTCCAGCAGAGTTTCTGGCACCTAGCCGCCGCCGGCGTACCTCCGCTAGAATCACGATCCCGGCGACACCAACTCCGACCACCGCCCAAAGCTTGGGACTTGAGACGTTAAGCTTCGAAAGTTTAGACATTGTTGGAAATGACCCCTGATTGGGGGGCAAATGTAGGGTTTTAGAAGGGTTCAAGATCCAGTGCTTTGGTTTCATCACAATTAATCCATGAACTTTTTAAAAACATAAGAAGCCCTACATAATCCTACGTAATCCTGCCATATTATTATATATAATAATTATTTACTTATTTTTATACTTACATATTGATATGGAAACAAAAATCCTTATAAATCCACTTTAATTAATTTGGTAAGCTTCAAGTAAAATAATTTTTTATTATCAAAGTGAAATTCTAATAACGCTTATTGATATGGAAACTAATTTATATTAGTTTACTACACGGAATTAAATAGAAACAAATATGCAAATTAGTTTACTTATTAATTTGACACCTATTAATAAATTAGTAAGTTTCAAATAAGTAAATAATTAAAAATGAAATTAAAAATTATAACCAACATAAAGTATATGATAGTATATATTTTCACAAGTAAATATGTTTAGCTTAGCCAAATAAGTAAAAAAAATTGGTTGTTTCTTTATTTTACACCTAAAATTCAAATATGTCTTCACTTTTGAAATAGATTCTTAATCCAAATTAGAAAATCTTCATACGTTTACAAATTCAGTTCCATTACGAATTTATTTTAATAGAATGTTTTTAATTGGATTGATTTCAGTTCCAGATTAAATCAGATCAGATCAAACTTTAATAATTATAACAATAAGTCACATAAAAACAGACATCTAATAGACCATATTAATTCATACCAAATCAAACCAATTCAATTAAAAACGTTCTTATTAATGAGTAAACTGTAAGATCTAACAATTAAGAAATATAGACTTTTTTTATTATTGGGTTCATAACAATTATGTTTACTTGATATGCTTATGTAAAAGACCAATTTAACTTTTTTTTATTTTCATATATTTTTTTCTTTGTTTCACAAATGGAATATATTTCACATATATTTTTCATAGTTCAGAAGATTCCACCTATTTAACCAAGATTCAATCAATTTCAGCAAAATAAGTTAATTCTATTTACTTTAGTATTATCAAACAGACTATATTAGACTAAGTTTATTTTTCTTTTAAATCACATTATATGTGATCTGATAGAAATTAAATTTCAAATTAACTAAATTACATACTGCTTGTGCATCGCACGAGCTTGAAAGCTAGTTAATTATTACACGAGGAAACAAATCATTCATTCTTAAATAAATGCAACATATTGAATTATACATTATTCACATGTTCCATTTTGACTACATTTTATTAATTAATGTATTAATAATTTATTTTTTAAAAAAATATTGTTAAATTTCTCTTATCGTAACTTTTCAAAATCCGTTTTTTTTTAATTTTTTTTAATAATAGAGAACTAAATATATTAATGGTCAAAGTACTGCGTTGGCAAGCGTGAAAAGTTGACCGTTGCATTTATTTAAGAACGGAGGAAGTACAATAGATACTCCCTCCGGTCATAAATAAAGTTCACACTTTTCTTTTTGGGCCGATCCAAAATAAAATTCACACTTCTTCTTCCTTCCTTGTTTGGCAAATTATCTACATCAAAACAGTGCAAAACAGTGCAAAACAGTGTCAAACAGTGTCACGCCAGTGTACTCTACAGTAAAGTCAAATTTATTTCCTTAATTTGTGTGAAGTCAAACAATGAACTTTATTTAGGACCGGGGGAGTGGAGTATATTTTTAATTAAACTTTGATTATCTAGTTTCACTTGTACCTTAAGAATCGTAGAAGCCTAATCTAAAGCTCGTTTGGTAACATGAAAATAGCTGATTCTACCGAAATTTATGAAGTTCAAGTTGAAGTGACTACATTGGCTGATTCTGCTGATTTGAGAAAAAAAATAAAAATATATTTTACTATTATAATAATGAAAAGGTTATGTGTAAAAATAGCTAAAATGGTCATCTACAGTAATTTCAGCCAATACAGCCAGAAAAGTAACTCCAATCTTACTTTTTCTTATTATTACACAATTCAGCGCGCAAAAACAAAAGTTATGTGTTTGGTAAAAAAGTTGTCTGATAAGCCGAAAAACAGTTTTACCAAACGACCTCGTATTCTACTTTGATGAAGTCTGATCTAAGTATTATATGCAACTTTGACCCATTGCTTAAGATATTAAAATGTGGTTGAGAGATCATTATTTCAAATCGCGAAATCAGGTTTTATTGAAATGACAAAGAAAAAAAATTATGCATCTTTGTGGCATGCCTCTTTTAAAGGTTGAATAAATATCTTTATCTTATCTCAAGGAAATGTGCTACTTTAAAGTATTTGTCGATGAAACTAATCTTTGTAAAATGTATAGAAATTACCCTGAATTGGAGTAAAAACGTTTTGAAATTCAAAAATTGGACATTAATGTTTTTATTCTCTAAGTAGGAGTAATTTTTGTCAAGTTTAGAAAAAACTTGATATAAATTGTCATGTTTAAAGCCTAATAATGCCAAATTTGGCAAAAAATACTCTTATCTAGGCAATAAAAACATGACAATCTTATTTTGGAATTTAAAAAAAATTGCTCTTATTTAAGGAGTTTTTCCTAAAATATACAGAGCATATAATATTTGAGACCATTAAATTTCCATAGGTGTGTGTATGTTTCTGAGTTACATTATACTCACACATGCACGTACACATGATATACGCGTGCATTATAGCTTGTGAACAGTTACTCCGTATCAAATTAGAATTTTTAGTTTTACTATGTAAGAGGTAATGACAAACAATAGGTAAGAAATAAAAAGTACTTGACAAATAATATGAAAATATATTTAACATTATTAGAACCGAGTTCGCCCATATGACAGTGTTGTAAACGTTTTATAAAAAAATATTCTTCAACGTAGCATTTCTACGTCAGCAAATTTTAGCCATCCTAGCTTATCTAATTTGCGAGGGAAAACTGAGGTTAACCGATAACCATCATGCATTTCTCCTCAATTATCTACATGTTCTTTTTCATTAGAAGTTTACCTTTATCATGTGAAAAGTAACAACCAAAGAGTCTATGAAATTAGGCTGACCTGACAGGATTATTGTCGGGGCAACTTCATTTTATGTCAAAAATAAAACAACATGTACCTGATTTTATACCTCAATTTGTACCTCAGCCTATATTTGTGGCTCACAAAAGTCCACTTCTATTATTTTAGTTCATTAGTAGCAAGTATTAATTTCACCCATTAGATCTTAATTTTGTTCAAAAGTGAATCTTACAACCTCACTTTTTCACCTCTAACACTCGTCTAATGATTAATATTAATTGGCCATAAAAATCATACTCTGTATTTAAGATTGATTTTTTTCATTTTATTGAAAATAATAGTTGATACTAATCTTTTCATTTCATTTTCATTTACCTCAGTGTCGCAAAGGCTTCCACCTACGGTGGGGTAAGGGGGAGTCGGATGTACGCAGTCTTACCCATGTACTAAAGCACAAATAGACTGTTTCCAAATGACCAATAGTGAAAATCCCATCCAAAATTGCACGGACTGACTGCTGCTTCATAACAAAGAAGCACAGACATTTTAGTGAGCCGTTTTGATTTATTCCATCATAATCTCAAGTCAAAAAATAATGAATTTTTGACTCCATTGCAAACGATGGAAAGTAATAGTTGATACTAATGAACAAAAAAAAATTGGATCATAAACTTTTTCGACAAAATAGAGCTAGCCTGACAAAATTCAATTAGACCGCCCTAACATGAATGCTACTCACTATATACTTCTTAGGCTTAACCGCAACCCTCATCATCTATAAATCAGACTTCCCATCAGTTTATCACGTTATGCGTATGCACTTCGTTAATTTAATTTTTTCTTGTAATCCATCACCGTCAATATATTAATCTAACAATGTTTTTTTAAGAATTTTGCCAGTCATTGAATAGTTTTCAGTAAAAAATCTCAATATGAAGTAGGGTAAAGATATTATAATGAGAGCAGTAATGGCTAAGTGCATGTGACTCATAATAAAATGCACTACATTTTAGATTCACACAACGCAAACTTTAATAATAAAGTAAAAAAAAAAAAGTTGTACATATTTATCTTATTACCACCACGTTTTTACTTTATAATTTGATGTGATCTTTCATTTTATCAATTTCAAGAGCTAGATAAGTTCTTGTTTTTATCTAGAGATCACTTTTTATTTAAGCTAATCCCAATATATAATCTAATACGGAACATATATTTGAAAATGAAGGAAAATGAAATTAAATACTTCCTAATTGTCCCAAAAATATACTCCCTAATTGATAAAAAAGGATGACACCCCATCCCTAAGGCCCCCAACTTCGACCGGACGTCACGTTGGGAAGATGTAAATTGGACTATAATCTCAATCTGAGATATAGAGAGTGAGACTCTGTCTCTGGTACTTGCAGATGCCCTATGCATTTTTAGCATAGTAACCCCTCATCGCAGTTGCCGGGAATCGAACCTGGAACATAACCGTTGTGACACTCCTTTGCTACCAGTTGAGATACGCCCATCGGTATCCCTAATTGATAATGCACACAACCCGAAGCGAAGGATCCCAAGTTCAACATTTTTGAAATACAAAATGACATGAATGACCAACCAAACCCAACAGGGGCAGGACTCGGACGCTGCAAAACCCCAACCAAACTTTGAGCCCATTTGTTATCCATGTTTTTCACCTTTTCCGCCTTTTTCATCAATTTTTTTATCAAACACATAATTTTTTACTTCACGCGTTGAATTGTTTAATAGTAAGAAAAAGTAAGGTTAAAGTTACTTTTTTAGATGTATTGGTTGAAGTTGCTGTAGATGATCATTTTAACTATTTTACATATAATTTTTTCTTTATTTAATTAATAATATGTATATTAAATATTTTTTCCTCAAATCAGCAGAATCAACTACTTCAATCGAAATTTCATAAATTTCAGTAGAATCAGTCAATTCGCGCGACCGTACTGTGTGCCCCGTGCAACCGGCTTACGTGTAGGATGGAATTTACCAAGAATACCGGATCGTCACTGCCCTTTTTTTT